CTGTCGAGGCGTGATAATTTTATAGAACAAAAGACAGCATTAGAAAAAAACGTGTCTTTATGAATGCAGACTAGAAGTGAAACATCGAACCTTTTGAGAAAGCTTAAAAAAGGCTTCGAGCAACTTGATTTTCAGGCAAATATTTGGAAATATGGAACAAACAGCAGTTTTCTCATTATTTTGTTTTTTTTTGAACAGAGCGTTTATTTATCTATAGACATTCTGCTTAAAAAGGAAATACTATAATTGGAAACTGCTGTAATTTCCATATTTCAAAATATTTTCCTGAAAAAGAGTTTTGAGAAGCGTGAAAATTCTTTCTTAAACATATAAATGCTTTTAAAAAGCACTTTAACAAATTAATCTAAAGGAAGAGACAAATTTTTTGTAAAAAAAATTGTAAAAAACGTGAAATTATGACGAATTGAAATGCAATTTTGTTTTAATTGTGCATAATGAGACTATTTAACGGAAAAACCTATAAATAGAAAACGAAAGCAAAAAAGATACATTTTTATAAATGTTTTTTTTTTCAAATCTCGCTGTTTCTCTGATAAACATTAATCGCTCACCAGTTTTTGGGAGAACTGAAAAAACAAAAAAAAACAGACAATAGAGAATATTACAAAATCAAAGTTTATGTTTAGGTTTATGAGTCATTGATGGGGGGTAATCTCCTGATAGAGGGACCAAATCGAGGAAAATTTTTAACCAATCAGAATGGTAAGATATTCCTATTGGCTGAATGGCTTTTGCACAAAACCGAAGTTGATAATAACAGAAGATGAATTCTAGCAGAACAGCAAAGTTTTGCTATACAATTCGTACAGATACACATTAAATTTTTCTGCCCATTTTTCAGATCGGTCTTAGATTTTTCCAAAAACCGACTTTCATTTCGCAAAGTTTGACGTCATGTATCTACTAATTTTCAAATCGGTCAAAATTAGTTTTAATGGCCTGGATTTATTTGCTTTCTCTGAGGTATTTGCGATTTTTTTGAGAATTTTTACTGGCTGAAACATAATGAAAACTGATTTCCATCATTCGGTTTCTCCATCATAAGGTAAGCCACCGTAATTAATCTTTGAATTAATCAAGCCCAACATCCAGTGATTTGAATTCATCTTTGAATTCATCCAGCGTGCTCAAATTGAATCTACGAAACATAAATTGGTGCCCGCACTGAGCGCCAATGGATTTCAATACTTAAAAAAGGATTTCCAAGACAAAAAATCCATTGTGATCTATTACCGATGTAAACTTCAGACCACGAAATTAATTCTATTTTTATTAAAATCGATTTTTGTTTCCATTATAAGACATCATTTTTAGCACCAAAGTCGATTATTTTTGTCAAAAATATTCATTTTAATTGATTTAAAAAAAAATTAAAAATCCGTCATAACCAATCATAATCCAATTTTTTTAAATTTTTTAAATTAATTAATGGTTTCTGCGATTCGCAGAGGATCTATCAAAGGTTATCCAGCCTGTCTAAGACTAGTCCGCTTCTCTTTTCTGTACTAAACTGAATTATTTTGAAGAAATTTTGCAAAATTTGCAAGAGTTTCTATGTTACGTCTTTTGAATTTAGTTCAAGTAAATCAGGTAAACCCCCAAAGTTTTCGAAGCCCTTCCCCTCAGCCCGTTAAAAATAAGTGACGGCATTACCTCACTTCCACCCTGTTTATCAACCCCACTCCCACCTCCTCTTCCAAGTATATCCCGTCACTTATTTTTTGACCCCGTTCCCCCAACCAAGTTCAGTAAAGGCGAGGGGAAGGGGATAAACTTGGGGGTAAACAAGGGGTGGGGTGGTAAACGGAGGTATAGGGGGGGGGGTAGATGGTAGAAGATGTGGAGGGAGTTCAACCATTGGAATCAACACAAAACCCAACCCTCACATTCAACCATTACCCCTATTCAACTATTAACCAATTAATCGCCCCTCCTCCGACTTGAACGTGAGGGCGCTGTTGACGAATGGCCTTATTGGAGAAGAAAATAAAACGTTATACTGCCATAAATTGAGAGTTTGAAAAGTAAAAATTATTTAGTCTATATAAAATCTATCTAAAAAATAAACGTGAAATTTAAGAGTTTTTGAAACTTAAGACGTAACAACTGCATGACCAAAAAATGAGTTAAAGTTGAAATGAAATGTAAATTTTATCGAAAACCTCTCAGAAAATCCATTAAAACCGATTATAATCGATTGCAATGGACCCTATTGACAATAAAATTTTTGAGATAAAATCTAGTTTTGATGGATTACAGTCTGATCTTTTGTACTTTTATAGATACAGACACAAAATGACAATGTAATTGATTATGATCAGCTAGGTGCGCGGATGAGGCTGCAGTTTTACCCCATCCAAATTTAGGCGTAAGTAATTGATTATAACGGATTATTATAATGAGTTTTTGACAATTACAAATGATTACCAGAATTAGATGTTTAAAGGATTGGGGATCTATTGTAATCGCAATATTTTCTACGAGTTCATAATCTGTAATAATTAATTATAATTGATTTTAAATCATACAAAAAACTCTTTGAATCAATTATTATCAATTATAATAGATTATAATCTATTTTTTGTCAAAATTTTGTCCCAGCAAATGATAATTTGTTTCATTCATATACTATGGTGGTATAATTTTTATCTGTAAAGAACAAAAACTCTAAAAATGAGATGCTTCGTCACACTGAAGTTTATCTGAGCACAGAGCTTAACCACGAAACAGAAGTTTCAAAAATTTTCTTTTATAATAATCGAAAGTTTCCCGCGGTACGGGAAATTTAAATTTGCCAAAAAATCATGAATTTAAAGCAAAGTGCTAATTTTTTGGTGATTAAAAATTTCAAATACGTATCATGGAACAACTCTAAGAGGAAAAAGTGATGAAAAAAAACTTTATAAATTTGAAGTGATTTGAAAGCTTATAAAACAAATTTCTCATTTTTCATATGAGCCAATGTCTACAAAAAGCATAAAATATAAGCAGTTCAGATTCAAGGTGAAATACAAAATGGGCAGGCAAAAAGGAATTTCATTGATATTCGATTTTTATGGGTTTTCTGCGCAACCTATGAATTAGAAGTTGGGATAAAAAAATTGTTAATAATAAATTATAATAGATTATATTTGTATTAAAAAATAGATGAAATAATCATCAATTATTATCGGTTACAATACAACATATCTTAACTGATTAAAAATTTGATTTTAAACAGAGATTTTAATCGATTAAAAATTTTTTTAAATTAATTTTTTCTCAAATTTACCAAGACTGGCACAAAAATCATAATTCAATTGATTATTAACGCTTAAAACTGGATGCGAGTGGAACAGTAAAGCTAGCGTGCTTTTGAAGCAGAGGCAAATGACACTTATTTTATTTCCTCAATGGTGGAGTGCAAAAAATATTCAGTAGATGCTTGAGCACATTATGGAGCAAAGTTTCACTGGCTTTCAGCAATGGAACAACTTTAGGATTCTCGAACTTTATCAATAGTTTTGCATAAGTGGCTTCAATTTCCAGCTTAAATCAAAACACGTTTAAAATATAGCGGTGAAGCGGAGTTCCTCGCCATTTTTTTTGAATGAAAGCAAAAAAATAACCAGAACTTAAATACAAAAAATTAATAGGGCAAAGTTTTTCAAGTTTTTCACCATTGCATGAAATTATCAGCGTTCTTCAAAAAAATGAACAAAAAATTTTTAAACATTGGTGCCCTTCATTCTTTTTTGAATTGGTTCAAAAATTGAAAAACTTTTTTAAAAACATCATTTCCGTCAAGCGGCTCTAAAAACTGGAAAAGACTCCATTCAAAACCCTTACTTAACCAATTCTTCATTTTAGACGAGAATCATATAATTTCTTATCTTAGTTTGTGGCCAAAAATGTTAATCGATTATTTAGAAAAAAAAATGAGGGATTTTTGAAAAAAGTTATTTCTGATCAAAAGTTTGCAAAATCAAAGCCAGTTTTAGCTATTAAAATTTCCTGCTCAGTTTTAAACAATAATCGCATGGTTACTGGACACAACTGTTCGCCACTAAGCCAAATGCTTGATTTCCAACAAAAAATTTTGGCATTATAAAGCAAATTATCGTTTGTTAATTTCTGAGACAAGTGTCTTTTAGCAAATCAAACTTTTAAAACAATAAGAAATAAAATTGAGTTTTTTAGCCCAATGTGGTATAGCCGGATATAACTAATGCACAGGCGTGAAAAGATGCTAAGTCCTGGATTTGAAAAGGACATTTATCTCAAGATCAGTCAACAAAGTTATCAAACTCAAAAACAGAATAGTACCACTAACCCAAAGAACTGATTCACGCGCACAGTGCCACTCGTGCTGAATTTAGGTGCAGCGGTGCAATTGGATTTTATTCGCCAATGCCACCTTTGAATATAGCGATATTGATTCGAGTCTTCTGAAAACTCGGTCTGCTAAGAGATCCGAAGACCTAGCTCAGTTAAATTTAAAGAAAGATAATGTATTGGTTGAGCAGTTAACTATTTTAAAATTTCCATACAAATTGTTTATTTCTAATGTCAGATAGAAAATACAAAAAACTCAAAAAAATAGGATAGATGATGTATATAACAAGGCTATCCAATTTAGAAGATTTTGTTGGGTTTCTAATACACGAGAAACTTGTAGCCCAGACAGACATCTTGTAAAATAGATGGTTAAACCTCAGAAAAATAGATGTTTCTCAAAAGTTTAAAAAAAGGAGCTACAAAAGGAGATTTTTCACAAATTTTTGCCGTTAATTTTCACCGTTAACATTCACATTCAGGATAATTGGTATTCAAAAAGTTGTTCAAAATGAAGTTTCAGCAAGAATGGAGAAAGGCGGAAAAAAGGGGAAAAGGTCGAGCTTTTAAATACTTATCATAATATGTTAACTTCAGGCTGCAGAAAATAGGCAATGTTTTGTTTAACTAATAACCCGGTCTAGCGAGCAAATCTATTGACTTACACAGTGACGTGGTAGGTGAGCGACATGAAGCCCTGAGGTCTCTCGAGGAAAGCGTAAATTGAGTTCTGGAGGGTCCTGTATCTCGTGTTGTACTTGGACTGTCTCTTTACATAGCCCTCCCGCACCCGCCGGCCCATCAAGTTCAGCTCCATGTCCATCGATGCACCTCTATCCAGATGCTGATTGCAGCAGACACCTTATACAACTTGGTTGTAAGAAATGAGTCCTTTTGATAAATAAGCACAAAAGCTCACTGATTGAAACGTTAACGGTCCTCAATCGTTTAGGTAAAGGTAGTCTCAAGAATAAATCCAGTTTGACAGCATAGGAATTTTTCATTAAATGTTTTGTTTTTAAATTGATCTGAGGCTCTGAAAATAAGTTCAAAAAAATCTGGAGTTTCAATTTCAGTCAGACTTCTCAGAGGAGTTAAAGCTTAGCAGAATTAGCGGGGTTCTATTTTTTCTGGCTGCACATTTGCGATTATTTAAAACACTTTCAATAAGCATTTTCTGATTGAAAGAATAAGTGGATGAATTGAACTTAGAAGACGCTATATGTTACAATCGCAGGCAGCTCTGATGTCGACCTGGTTTGGCTCGTTTTTCAAACATCAAAAAAGAAGAGATAAAATTCAGAAAGATTGATAATCTTGTGGTGACTAATGATTAAAAAAACAGTAGGACAAACTACATTAAAAATGCAGGAAAAGAGAACAATAAGGAAAAGTATCAAACGGAAAGAACGAGAGAAATTTTTCTCCAGCTAAACAAAATGGTGTAAAAAGTACGAGGGAGGAGGAGCCCAAAGGTTTAATGAATGTGTGAAAAAGTCCATTGAAAAATGTTTACTTTGTTCGTATTTTAAGCGAAACACTTTTTAGTTTGAGAGTGCACTTCTACTAATTTGAAGCTAAGTGCAGTTTACTACTTGATAATAAAAACACAAAGTAGCACACTTTCTTGCTAAGGTAAAGACTTTTTCTGCCCAATCGTATTTTTTTTAATGTTCTCTTATCGACTGTTTACGTCACACAGCGCCATCAATATCACCAATGGACAAAACTCGACAAATAAGAGCGCATTACCCTCGAGAAATAGTTGCTGAAAAGCAAAAATTTAAAAAAAATTAGCCAATTATGAGAAAATAGCAAATTTTAAACGCGAGGACTTTAATTAGTTCTCATGAATAAAAAATGACGTAAAAGAGGAAAGACGCACAAAAAAGAAAAAACCATTCAAACAATTGCCAGCATTCTGAAGTTGCGTCAAAGGTGTCTTTAGTTCAATAACTCTCTTTATAGGCAGCTAAATTTGATTATGTTTACCATATTATCGAGGCAAATAATCAACGGCATTTGAATTTGTCTCTGTAATTAATTTTTCACTTGGAGAGAGAACTGGTGAAAAAACGTTTCCCTCTGAAACATCTAACAAAAATATATATTTTAGAGTCGTACAAAATCCAAACTTGCTGAAATTTATCATCGAAGGACCAACAACATTCGCCATCGCAAATGTACTTCAAACTGCTAGTGCGCCTCTAAAAATTTTCTATTGAAAGCAACAAACCTATTTACTAACTATCCAGAAAAGAGCACAAAAAATTCCGGAAAAACTTTTGGAACTTTGTTTTCCAAAAAGAGTAGTTTAATTGCATCTTAGAAAAAATTGGTGAATAATTATAGAGAAACATTTTTGGAGAAAACTTCGTATTATTGTTAATGTTTTTTGTTGAAACCGAGTTCTTCTATTTTCAAGTTACTACAACTAAAAACTCCTTGGTGATTTTTTACCAGAATAATTAATCAAATAACTGTTTCTTTGTTTTTAGGCTAAAATAACTAAAGACTGCTCAGGTCATTTAAAAACAGTTCATGATACCCAGAGGCGGATCTAAGATATTCTCGAGGGGGGGGGGGGGGGCGGATTTATTTTCAAAAAAAAATTCAAAAATTTGATTGAGCAATTTGATTTTCCGAGCTCTGCCAAAGCATTAAAAAGACCCCGTTTTAGACAAATTTCTGCGCCGCAGGCAAAATTTTGAAAAAAAAACAAGAAAAAAAGCGTTTTTAGGCTTTTTTTCCTAAAAATTTTGACCAAAAAATCGCGTTTTTTCGGCGCGCGCTTCCACCTGAAAATTTGTTTACATTGCCGCCAAAGCGGCCTTTAGAAAAATTTAGGCTCCGCCAGCCAAAAAAGGATATTTCAAAATAGTACAAAGGGGGGAGCCGTTGGGTCGGCAGGTGGTCTAATCACTGAAAGGAAGGGAGCGTTCGCAACATCCCCCCCCTAAGTCCGCACCTGATGATACCAGTAAAAAAATTTATTTGGAGAAAAAGGTTGCATAAAATAGGCCCAGGAATTAGGTTTGTTACATTTTTGAAAAATTTGGTTTCGCGAGCAACGGGACGTATTAATTTTTGATTTTAAATAGGTTTTGTTCACTTACCCGCACTCAGTTAAAAGAGAGAAATTAATAGAATAAAAGGGATTTTTGTTGTCAGTCTATTATAAATTTCAAGAAAAATTGATTATATTTAACTTAAACTGAATTATAAAGCTACTATACTTCGAAACCAAAAAAATATATATTTGAATTGATTATAATCGATATTTTTTCGAAAAGTTGTCTCTAACTTTTTTGAATTATAATCCATTTTACTCGTTTATAATCCATTTTAATCGATTATAATCTATTATTTTTCAAAAAACGTCATAGTTTCATTTTGTTCTGATTTAATGTGGGCTATGTAAGTTTAGTTGGTATCAATTTTTTTTTTCTTGTTTTTCTCAAATGGATTTTTTTAAAAAATTTTTTGAAAATGAAACTTTCAACTAGTGCGACCTCAAAAAATGCTTCAAAATGCAGAATCATGATAATAAAAGTCTTGTCGTTATTTTTAACTAGTTTGAGTCAGCATCGGTCCAAGGTCTGTCTACCTACACCCACCTTTCACCTGAAGGTGCATCCTACCTACACCCACCAGTCACCTGAAGGTGCATCCTACCTGCACCCACCTGTCACCTGAAGGTTGATCCTACCTGCACCCAACTGTCACCTGCAGGTGCACGGATAAGGGGAACTGATGAACTAAGCGAAACTGTAATTTTTTACTTACATTATAGCCTAAACTTAAATTAAATTTGGTATTTACTGTGTTTTTATGCAGATTAGCTAACTTATAATTCATTATTTATGATTTTATTATGAGGTGAAAATTTGATAGAAAAAAGGATTATAAGCTATTTTAATAGATTATAAAAGATTATAAGAGATTTTCGGAAAAAATATGATCAATTATAATTGATTATAATTTTTTAAAATGTCACCAAAAATGTTATCATTATAATGGATTATAATTCGTATAAACATCTAAACTTGGCGCTTATAATTAATTATAATTTTTCTAAAAGTACGATTACAGTTGTAATATAATAGTTTATTTTCTCTTTTTACTGAGTGCGGGTAGTGTCCATATTCTCGACTTTTTTCATTTATTGAACAAACACTTGTGATAATTTTTGGTGTCTTTTTTGAACAAAACACACACCTATTCAAAATTGTAGCTATAATGCAGTTTTCACGATGCAATTTTTTTGGCAATTTCGCAAACTTAAGTACCGTATTGATATATTGCTTGAACACACCGCTTCTATTATCAAATTGGGACAGAGAATCATGAAAAACTTATCGTGATTGAAAAAATCTCAAACTATTGATTGCTTATTTTCCATTAAAACTTAACTCTAGTCAATTATCAGTGCTTTTATTTAAAGCAAGTGAATATATATTTGAATGTAAAACTATGAAAATTGTTCTATGAATGTAAACTAAGAAAGTAAAATTATGATAATAGTTCATGCTATTTATGATCATGATTCGCGTTATGCCTGCATTTCTTGAATATTTATTAATATTCACCTGTTCCAGTAGCATTTGGAACATTCCATCAATTGAGATATTCCAGTAACTTCATTATCATTGAGTTCGCACTAGTTTCAGTAAAAGTTCCAAAACAATTAGTGTCATCGGCTTATGTAACACCTTCTCTGTGCTCGGCAGTTTGCGGAAAATCAAATCATATATACAAAAAACTGTATAAGTCCCAAAATAACCCCTGAAGAAATCCACGTTAACGCTTCTCTGTTGTATAAAAAAAACTCTCAAGTTTTTGTCTATGATTTTCTTATAGTCTTCATTGCTCAGATATGAGAAGTGTTTCCTGATCAGCTTTATCTAAATTTCTAGAAAGATGTTTGAGCGTGCAATCAGCTAGCATACTCGTGTTTCCGTATTAAATAAGTTCTTACAAAGCATCTGCAGGCGGATCAAGTTTTGAGTTTTTTTGCTTGAAACATTGTAACCGTTAAAAAACCCCCACATTTTACCGATAAATGTTTCTCAAAATGTGTTCCTGTCATGAACTTAAATTGAAAACCAATAATTAATTGGCGAGAAATTGGTCTTCCTTTTTTCAATAAACGAGTTGTTGTTGTTTTCATTCAACTGGGATTTTATTCAACTGGGAGGGGGGCTATCGAACGCCCCCACTTAGGGATTCGAACCCCTGCCGAACCAAAGGGCCCCTTCTGTACTATTTTGAGATAGCCATTTTTGGCTGACTGACCCTAAAATTTTTCTAAAGGCGCCTTTGGCGCCAATGCATACAAATTTTTAGGTGGAAGCGCGAGCCGAAAAAACGCAATTTTGTGGTTAACGTTTTCCAAAAAAAGCCTAAAAACCCCTTTTTTGGGCAGTTTTTCTAAAATTTGCTTGCGGCCCACAGAAATTTTGGCCAAAATAGGGACAAAACAGTGCTTTGGGAGAGCTCGAAAAATCAATTTGGTCGACAAAAATTTCGAAAATTTTTTGAAAATCCGCCCCCCTCGAGAAAATCCTAGATCCGCCTCTGTTTTATATTTACAAAAATGAAGACATTTTCAGACCAGTACTGAGAAAAAATCGTTCATCCTTAAACCTCCACTGACAACCTCAGTTCATTTGTGACAATTTTGTTTAATCCTTAAACATCCAATGACAATCTCAGATGAGTTTTGACATGAAATGGTTTCATTGTTGCAGGATAAGAGAAGTTTTGTTTTTTCTGCATTCTGTTTTGCCTTTTTTTATCTCAGCTATTTCATGCTTTCAAAAAGTTTCTTTTTGGGTTTTTGAGTTGCATTGAAAAAAAAA